AGCCCCAGTTGTGATCTTGGGGTGCCTCTGTACATCTAGCAGCACCCCAAAACCTCTAGACCTCTTCATGTTGATTTTGGTGTCCTGGGCCCAGCTCTGGGTCCTGTACTGGAACAATGAAAGCAAGGGAGGGAATTGGGATAGGAGTAGGGAGTACTGGGAGATATAGATCCATCCATCTCCTGGTCTTATCACCAGCAAATGAGGTTTTCAGAAGCTGTTATTCAGCATTTTCAAGGATCCCAAACTGCTAACTGTTAGAGGAACCTATCTTTTTAACACCAATATTCTGTCAGTGATGCTATATACTATGATTTCAAGATAAAAATTGTGGATGACCCAAATAGCTGTAATATATATGGGTTTATGCATAAATATATGTGTATGTATGTGCATACATACATGTATGTGTGTATTATGTACACACACATAGTATAAATAGGCTGTGCTGTTGAGTTGTTGCAGTCACGGCTGACTCTTCATGACCCGTTTGGGGTTTTCTTGGCAGGGATTCTGGAGGGGTTTGCCATTTCCTTCTCCAGTTCATTTTACAGATGAGGAACTGTGGCAAACAGAGTTAAGTGACTTGCCCAGGTCACACAGCTAGAAGTGTCTGAGGCCAGATTTGAACGTAGGAATGTGAGTCTTCCTGACTCTAGTCCAGGTACACCATCCACCATGCCAGCTAGCTGCTCCTTAATAGGCTGTAGCATATTGCCAATGATTGTTGTTGTTTGTCTTTTCTCAAAGAGGACCACGTCATCAAGAAGGTGATGCTATGACATGCAAGTGAATTGGATTTAAGTGAGAGAGGGCTGTGCAAAGTCACCAGCCTCACTTCCTCCTCCTGAACCATCTGGGTTCAGTGGCCAGATATAGATCAGGATGACTGGAGATGGCCCTCATTGCCAAAGCAAACGATTTGCTTGCAAGGAGCTATTATCAAGGGCATATGGACTAGTCATTTAGTGAGGGTCTGTTGGATCCCCAGAATAGTCAGCTGATTAAACTACTAATTTCATGAGGTCAGGGACCCTTTGATTCCCCTAATGCCTAGGAGTTCTCTCACATAATGGGCACTTAAATATTTATTAAATGCATAAATGAATGAATTAGTTGGCTCTCCTAAATCAGGCTTTGCTCATTGGGGTTCAAATGGAGTTACTTGACTATGCCTTTAAACTCAAATTACTCTGGCCATCACTGATTGGCCAATAAGGTCCTAGCCCAAACCTCACTTGGTCATTGTTTGAGCTCTCCTAGCTCAGAGTGAGTGTAAATAGCAATTGTTTCTGTTTTGGCCAGAAACTCTGAGGGTCTTCCCCTCCCAGAATGATTCATTTGAGAAGGCAAACTAGTCCCATCTTTTGTTACCTCAATTCTTATCTATCCTTTAATCACTGAATGGGCATTGCCTCAGTCAACCTGAAACCTGTTAAAGACCTCAGCATGTAAAGCCCAAAGTCCTCCACTGCATGCTGGGCCATCTCCAGTCCTCTTGATCTATATATATCCTGCCACTGGACCTAGATGGCTCCAGAGGAGCAAATGAGGCTGGTGACTTTGCATAGTCCTCCCTCACTTAAATCCATTTCACTTGCAAGTCATGACATCATCTTCTTGATGTCCTGGTCCTCTTTGAACGAAGGAAAACGACAGGAGTTCTCTCACATAATGGGCACTTAAATGTTTATTGAATGCATAAATGAATGAATTAAATGGTCAGCTCTGGAGCACTGTTACTTCCATGGTTCAAAGAATTCATAGGTGGGTGGTTTAAGAAGTGCATATTGCAAATCTGTACAGTTCTGTTCATGTCCACTCATAAATTCTCCATAAAGGATTCACCCTAAAGAGTAGAGGCCTTTCTCTTTTTCCATGGTCCTCAGCAGGCGTCCTGGAAAAGCCACAGAGGAGGGTCTTCCAGGACGTGGGCTATCCTGTACGGAGGATTTGCGAGAAGCCAAAGACAAGAATCACAGCAGCACTCGAAGGATGGACAGGAACCTGGCCTGGTGAAGGGAAAAGCCACTTTGAAGCTGTCACAGATTCGTCCAAGTATTGGTGATTGATTGATCAGTGTAGCAAGACCGAACCAATGGGGGAGTGCAGAGGGAGGGAGGAGGGGATTGCACCAATCCTGGTGGGATGGAGGGGGGCGTCCCAGGGGCTTGTCTCCAGGCAGAGCCGAGAGTGGGCGACTGGCCCAATGCAGAAAGGGGGTGTGCATGGGGGGAGGGGAGACCACAACCCAACCTCCCAGGAATGGCTGGGGGCGGGGGAGGGCCGGGATCGAAGAGGTGTGGCTATGCCCGCAGCTGTTCTCATGGGTGCGCTTGTATCACACGAAGGGGGGGTTCGTGACAACAGATACCCTCTTTCTCTGTGCCGTGGCTACATCTCCACTCGAGGCCGCGCCCAAGTTCAAGGACACTTAGAACTTCTCCTTCTTTCGTGGTCAGAGTCTCGTGGCCAAGCCAGTTCCCCCGCTGAGTGGGCGATTCTCCCGACATTCCCCCTCGCTCCAATCAGAGTGGTTCGCCCCGCCCCCAGCAGGCCACAATGGAGCCCCGCCCTCAGGGGCGGCTCCTCCTCGGCCAAGCTCCGCCTTCCTCCCCTCCCCCGCCCCGAGGATGGACCCGGCTCCGGCCCCCGCCCCAGCCCCAGCCCCAGCCCCGGCCCCGGCCCCGGCCTGAGCGCCCCTCCGAGCCGCTGGCGCTTCCTGCGGACCCTCGCCGAGGCCCCCGCCGCCGCCATGGACCTATCTCACCCGCGCCCGCTGGGCCGCTCGAGAGCCCGGGCCCCGAGCGGAGGATCGTCCTTCGTCAGGTACCGCTGCAGAGGCTGCCGCTGCCCGGCACGGCCCGGCCCCCGCCCCCGGACCGGCCCCGACCCCGGCCTCAGCCTTGGCCTACGTACCGCCCAGGCGGCTCTGTGACAGCCCCTTCCCAAGAGCGTCCCTCCGAAACCGCCCTCTCCCCAGGCAGCGCCCCCATTGTGCCCCCAACCGCTCCCTCCGTCGGGCAGCCTCCTCCATTGGGCTGCCCAGGAGGCCTCCCTCCGACAACGCCCCCAACCGCCCCCTCCTCAGAGAGTCCTACCCATTGTGCCCCCAACTGCCCCCTCTCCCACACAGCGCCCCCATTGTTTCCCCAACCGCCCCCTCCCCCAGGCAGCTCCTTCCATTGGAATGCCCAAGAGGCCTGCCTCCGACAACGCCCCCAACCGCCCCCTCCCCAGTGAGCCCTACCCGTTATAACCCCTAACTGCCATCTCCCCCAGAAAGCGTCCCCTATTGTGCTCCCCCAAACTGCTTCCCTTCCCAGACTTCGCCCGTCCCCGTTGTGCCCCCAAACCAATCCCTTACGGAGGCAGTACCCCCATTGTGTCCCCCAGCGCCTCCTCCTCCAGAAGACCTCCTCTGACAATGCCCCCAAACCAACCCCTCTCCTAGAGAGCTCCCTCTGCCCTCTCCCCAAGAGAGCACTCCATTGTACCCCTCAGGCCGCCCCCTTCCCCACACAGTGCTCTCACAATCATCCCCCCAAACTTCCTCTCTCTGACATCGCCCCTCATTGTACCCCCAGGAGGCCTCCCTTTCACGATGCCCTCAAATCACCCGCTCCCCAGACAATGCTCCTCCAGAGAAAGCTTCCCCCACGGAGTCCCTCCAAGCTGATCTCCACCCTTAAACAATGCCCCCATGAAGCCTCTCCTGGCAATGCCCCCCCCCAGTGCTTCCATGAAACCTTCCCCTCAAAAGCTTCTTCCTTTAAGAGTATCCCCCCAACCTCCCTCTTGCCTCCCCAACAATGCCTTCTATCTTCCACAGCTGCCCTCCCAAGATGTTACCCTCAAACCTTCACCCATTAGGCTTCGCCTAAAAACTGCTCCCCTCCTCCTGCAAATAGCCTGGGTATCCCCTCTCACGTAAACAATGAATTCTTCTAGCTAACCAGGGACCCCCACTCCCTTACAGTGTGTTTCCTGCCAATGAGTCTCCAGATGCCTTCTTGAAAATGATTTCCAGGCCTCCCCCCCTTCCCCATTCCTCTTGAAGACGCTCCCTGACAACAGCCCCCAACACAAAGACACCTCCCTCTCTCAGTCGCTTCCACCAAGGTGTAGATAACTGCCTTTCCCCCACCCCCCACAAAGCTGCCCTTTAGTGATACTTCCCCCTTCCCCCAAAAAACCCCATATGATGCCTTCTGCATAGAAGGCTTCCTCAGATAATGCCTCCCCCACCAGGCTTCCATGAGACATTTCCCCATAAACCATTTTCTTTAACAACACATCCTCTCTGTTCTCCAAGTGTGCCTTTCTTTAATACATCCCATCCTTTTTTCTCCCCACTTCCATCTTTCCTTGGGCACCGACCCTAACTCCTTAGTTCTTCTGAGAAAGAAGGGGACCCGGGGAGGTGTTGAGGGGGAAAGGTGGGTGACAAATAAAAGAAAGGAGCAGTGAAAGGGTTGTGGGGTCCCTGAAAACACCACCAAGTTGATGCCCTAGATTCCAGAGCACCTTCAATAATTCTACCAGGAGATAGAGCCCCAGCTCCATGACTGCTCGGGCAAGGGGGGGAGGGGCGGTATAATTCAGGCCCCCTCTCCTAACTCCCCATTCCAAGGGTCTTTAAAGCAGACAAAGGAGGGGCTGGCTCAGGGCTTAGTACCCTGCTGCTGCACTGTACTAGAAGCCTGGGAGTAGGCTAGATGCCCAGTGGCTGGCATAGGGGGTCCTGTTGTTTTAGGCATCCCAGTAGGGGTAAATGACATTTTGGTTGCAAAGCAGTGGGGGAAGGCTGAAAGGTTGGGAGGAGGTGAGAGGAAGGAGAAGCCTGGAAGCTGAGGATCACCAGCCATCTGCAGAATGCTCCTCTGCCTGCAGACCCAGGTCTGGGTGAGGGAATGACAGTGAGGCTGGAGCAAGGTGGAGGAGGGGAAGGAAGGTGGTCTGGTGCTAAATTCTGCTGCTGTAGGAAGAGGCAGCTCTTTTTCTTTGTTCCTCTCCAATGCCAATAAATACCTTCTCAAATGGAGGTTGTTTTTTTTTACTATGAAATGAAATGGTATCTGCTAGAAAAGGCCCTTGTTTAAGGAATTTCTGCCCCCCAAAAATGTTTATGGAGAAAGGAGGTGGGGGGGTGGAGATGACATTTTCATTCCATAGACATGAAGCTACCTGGAGCTCCCATACTGGAGCCAATGGGTCTTCCACTAAATAGGTCAAGTGGCCTTTGCTGAACTGTTTGACTGTAGCTAAGCTGACCTTCACAGAGTCTCCTGGGACTTTTCAGTCTCCAGGGAATAGCTGTTTATGGCAACCATTACCAAGCTTAAACCCAAACCAGACTGACCCAGAGTTTCTGACTGACCTATTCGCAGATGGAAATAGTGTTTAAATTTTGTGCGGGAACTTCCCAGGATGTCTTGGGAGCTTTGGGCATGGGCTCTAGGCTTTCTGGAAGGCTAGAGGCCAGGGGGTTTAGGTGGGCTCAACTTCTTAAGCTTTCGCATTCCAGGGACCAGGTCAGCACACAGCTCTGATGCTATGCTAAGGTGTTTTTTTCTTCTTTAGTGTCTTGAGTCTTTGTTACCTTTGGAGAGGTCCGCTTTCTAATAAACATGTCTCAGAGAAAGCTGATACATTCCCTGTTGCACCAAGCCAGGCACTGTTGAGAGAAGATTATTATGCCTTTTTGTTTTTTGTTTGTTTGTTTGTTTTAATCAGAGGTTTGTTGTGTAGTCCATATAATCAGGCAAGTTCTGAATCTTAAAATAGGTACCCTACTTGAGTAAAGCTTGTAGGGCTTTGAGCAAGGAGCAGTGCTAGCAGCTAGCTGTGCCATAAGCCAGAGAAATATCTTCCACCTTCCATATGCCCCAGTCTGTCCACCTTCCCTTTTCATAGGGAAACAGACTTTTTTCTACCCCTTTCTTTCTAACCTTTTCCCCTGCTTTTGACTGTGTCGAACATAACCAGCTGGGTTGGGCTCTATTCTTTCCTAATGTGGCCCACATTTGGTTTACACAGTCTTTTAACTCACCTGTCCACTAGAAGGGGTAGGATTAACTGGTGAAGTAACATTTCTGAAGACCCATACTAAATTGCAGTTGTGTGGTCCTGCTATGTGTGATGGAGGCCAGCTTCACAGAAGGCGTGTGTAAGCCAGAAACTAAAATAATGTGACTGCTCAGGGTTAGAGGCTTCTTTGTAAGGGTTAAAAGGGAAATACATCCAAAGGCTAATTGCCTGGATCAAAATGCCTTTTTCTTCCTCAGAACCCCCTTTCCTTGGTCTTGGTTACTGGTTTAAGTTTCAGAGAGACTCTTCTATTTTTATCTCTGTTTTTCACTCATCTCAGAGTTTCTCTGTTGTCCTCTTCTGAACGTTGCTAAACCCTCCAGTTTACACCCTTCATGTCTTAACTGCTCTTGGCTCCGTTCTCTGTTTGTCTCTACTCTTCCCATCCTCCTGTGGCCCTTTTAGTTAAAGTTGTCAATGTTTTCAGATCTGGAGGCCCTGAAAAATTGGAGATTCTTTTCTTCTTGGTAATATTGGTGTAATGGCAGGCTGTTATGGTAGGATTTGTTTGTTCCTGATTTCGGGTTAAATTAAGTCCTGAATCTTTCCCTAGACCATGGATGGGTGTAGGGTCTGTCTTGTACTCAGTGCCTTGTATTTGGGACTAGCTGTGGGCACTTTCCAACCATTAGAGGGTCTTCTGCTTTATTGGGTGTCCTTAAGATCTGGGAGAATGTTCAATGGCAATCTTGATAAAGACCCCAGAGGTAGCATCAAGTTTATCTAATTCTGTCTGATCCCAGGCTCCCAATTTAGACTTATATTCTAATCTTTAATCCTGCCTGGTACTTTATACAACCCCAAAACATGAAACCCTTGATACTTACCTGAGGTGGTAACAGGTTCTGTTTTGTTACTTGGCATCCCTAGAAGTAGGTTTTATAGACTGTCAAGGGAAGGCTGACCAATCTCTAGAGCCAGACTGCTATGTACTGCCTGTATGAAATTGAATTTAAGAGATGTGGTGAGAGCTCAGACAATTCTTACTAGGAGACCTTGATGAAATTATGGCACCACTTTGAATTTCTCCAGGATGCAACAGTAACACTTGTACACACGGTGCCCAGTTGTATGCCCATGAGGCACATGGGCATACATCTCATGTACACAAGATCACAGAGGCATAAAATTCTTGGAGCTCTCTTGCAGAAGGTCCTTCCTGTAAGTGAAAGGTAGTCCTATTTTGTTTATGAGTTGATTGGCAAATATATAACTGTCAATCAAGCATTTATTGAGCTGTTTTTGTTGGAGGTGCTATGGTATATGCTCTACAAAATGTTATGGGAAAGATGTGGTTTCTGCCTACCAGGACCTTGTAATCTGTGCCTCTAGAAAGTATGAGTGGTCCATTTTCATCCAGTTGCCTAGTGTCTTATTTATTTCCCTTAATTCTAACATGACCAGACTTTGGATAACATGTGGCTGGACGAACGATTGTCCTTCTCTACGTCCCCTTGGTCTGGAAAATAAATACCATCAACTATTTTGGTACTGAGATGAGGTTCCTTGGGGTGCCTCTGCATGGGAACCTCCCCCCAAGAACAAGGCCATGGCTATACCAGGGAAATTAGGGGCCTCTTCCTGTTTTGGGACTCTGTCCTCTATGCAGCTTTCAAATAGATATTCCAAAAACATAGATCTGTCTGTTTCACTCCCAGCTTGATAAACTCTAGTGGTTTCTTTTTGCCTCTAGGAGCAAATATAAACAGTTTCATTTGGCATTTTAAGCACTTAACAAC